TACATTTTCTACTTTATTCATTTTCACATTAAACTCAGTGAGTACAGATAGCTCTGAGATATTTCTGCCACTCTTACATTATAAAGTTGCAACAGGTTGTAGAGTTTTATACTGCTGATACATAATACAGGAGCAGCGCTGGAACAAAGAAAAACAAGATTTTGACAAAATGTTTTAAATAATATGTATATCTTTTTAGGCAACAAGAGGAAGCGGAGAAGTTTGGTTCAGGGGAAAATGAGTTAATTGGGTCTTTATGGTAATGTCATCAACAATGAAACTGTGTTCAGTTTGGCATCTTTAAGTTTCAGAGTTAACAACTTACTATGAACAATGTCATGAAAGACTCCCCCTCTTCAGTAATTATCAGCTGAGAAAGACATTTCCATGTCAGTTAACACTAAAGTTAATCTCTCCAAGTTGATCAGATCTGAGAAGTAAATATTTTATTTTTTTTAAGATGAACACTGAATATTAGAGCACAGGCCTTCAAAATAATTAATTCCATCACCACAGACCTATTATTGATGGGTACCTACATTAAGAGTCTTGAAATCTTTTCACTCTTATGGAGTGGAAACAGAAGAAGGATCAAGCTGTTGCTGAAAAAAATGGCATGCTAAAACATTTGCTATATGTACTGAACAACACTCCAAACTGTCTCATAAGTCTAACATATGCTCCTTGTCTTGTATATACTCATTCAAGATTTAGATCATGGCACAGTAATGGCAAATAAACCATGTTATCCTTCAGTTATAAACAATTTATTTTCTTTCTGAAAGCATGCTTTTCCTGAGCATGTTCCTCTAAAGTAAAATGATTACTGACCTTTCATCTGATTGGTATTTCTACTGAGTATCCTCCCCTACTTCAAATTGTTTTACGGTAGTCAGATAGATGCTGCTACAGTGCTGAGTAACTTCAAAATTTTAACTTCAGGATTTGAATAGTTAGCAAGACGAGGAAAATAAATTGTACCATCATAGAAATGTCAATGGTACAATGACAGACGAGGCTAAAAATTGGACTAAAACATGGGTTTGGACATATCAAAAGAGTTCTTCTGACTGTCAGGATAAAGTCCAGTAGTGTAACAATGAATCCCTTAGTTTAAAAGTGACAGCCCAGATAGGCTTTTCTTGATCCAGATAGGATACACGTGTATCTCTATGTAATATAATTTGTTAACATAATGCCAATCTTTGCTCTTGTTGGCAAGGAATTAAATAGGAGAACAGGTAATTATTTGCAACCTTCCTACCTTCTTCATGTTCCAATGAAAGAATATCCCTTTCTTGCCTTAAAACTGGCATTCAGGTTTATTTTCAAGACAACATCCCTGAAGTATTTGTCCCTTAGAAGATAAATCAATCTCTCAATGAGAAAATTTGTCTCATTATCTTTCTGTATATGATTTTTATCTATTATATGTATCCAGGCCTTCTTCAGCTATTCAAATGACTTCTAAATATTTACTACAACTAAACAAACATACACTAATGACAATGAAACAAATTGCACATGTGAGAAGTTAAGTGAACCAGGAACATCCTGGTTGACAGGATTTTTGCCAAGAACTTCACAAAAAGCTTATCCACTCTATTTCCTTGAATTAGAATCAAGTATTTTTTTCTAGTCTCACATGGCAAAACAAAATTAACTAGACCAGACCAGACTGATGCATAGGGTGCTATATTACATTAATACATTTGCCATCACTAGAAGGCACAGCTGGGACTCTGCATGAATGTTCTGTTGGGCATTCATTCTCACAAGATTCTAAAATACAAGCCCCTCACTTCACAACCTCTGAGCACTTGCTGCATTACAAAGTGCTACACATATGTTGACTGACAGATTGCTCTAATGTTTGTTCAGATTCTTTCTTGGTACATGGATGGTTCTTTGAAGAGCAGTAAAATATTTCAAAATCCTGAATATACAAAAATTTGAACTATTTGGGGGGAAAAGAGTGATTTGAGATTATGTTTGTCTGGAGATTAAAAAACCCCAAACCTTGATAAAGTAAAGAACAGGACTATACTCATTTATCTGAAGTCAAGAGACACCATTTAATGTATTAGCTCAGGACTGCTTTACTTGGCAACAACTTCAAATGCACTTTGCATGAAAAAAACAGGTAATAATTTAATGAGAATAAATAATTTTAACAGTACCCTAATTTTCTTTATAGCACTCAATAGCTTTTAAATTATATATATGTGGGCACCTCCCCATCCCCGGACAAACAGTTCATCTCTGTGACATAAAATTATTATGCATAGATTATCAAACTATAAATTAAATATTACCCTTAAAAATCCAACAACAAGTCACAGCATAAAACCTCACAAATTCTCTTTAAAGTGTCAGATTCCTCTTTGTTAGTAAATATCTCAATTATGTTTGAAGTAGTTTTCTTCCAACTATTTATTCATACTGTATTATTCATTCTAATTCTTATGGTCTTGTTTGTAAAAACAAATGAGATATCAATTTATTTAAAAGGACTTATCAAGAACCATCTCTATAAATACAATCATGTACTATGATATTAAGATAAATATTAGTGTTTAGGGACAATTGACTATTTTTCTATGGGAATTTAATTTCTATGGGAATTAAAGTATGCACTTGAGAAAACTCAACTTTTTATGGGGAAAAACACAACAGCAGTATTTGGACAGGCTGCCAAAACTATGCTATATTTAGCATGGAGCAAAAAGAACAAATCCAGCATCCAGCACATGCAGTTTCCTAATATTTATTCCCCATTTCTACTTAGCAAATTCAACATTTATAAAGAAACTTGTCTCAAAAGAGTTGCCCAGATGAAAAATCAAGTACATCACTGCGTAAACATCATTTGGTTGATTTGATTTTAAAAATAATTTTTTAAACCAAAGCTTCACTTGTGGACCTCACACAACACATGTACACCCTTGGTGGCCAGAGAAACATCAATTAGTGGGAATCACCAGATTTTTGAAAATACGTAGTATATCTCTTGCTCACTGGAGGAGTTTTCTGCAAATACATATACTGTCATGGAAACAAATGACTTTTTGTGGACTCATCCACTACAAACTAAATGTAAGTTTACCGGTTAAATAAATATCCTGAAGGAACTGGAGTAGACTCTTTTTTCTTTCAAATTCCTCATTTTTCAAATCTCTCTCAGGAAGGAGCAGAAAGGAAAAGGCACAAGAAACGTACATAATTTACCAGGCCCCTTCTTCTAAGGGTTCAAATGTTGACAATATTTTAAAATGTGGGATTTGAAGGGCATTGTGAAAAGTAAAAATAGCACTGCTATCTTTATAAAATTATAAAATCAGTAATTTTATAATTTCAACTCTGTAAACTCAGGCTCTGATAGTCAAGCAGTTCTTTTTAACAAGAGTTTTTCATCCACATGTAGATCTTCACTGACACCATTATACCTCTGTTCTCTTCAGATTATTTATCTCCAGCCCCATGCTGTAATGTCAGTGTTTCTAGGATCTTACAGAGAAGTTCTAAGGATTTTCAATTTTGCAGATATTTAACGATTTCCAGTAAAGGTATATCATTTACATAGGATTTTTATCTAATATGAATAGCCTAGATTTTCTTAAGACTGTGGACAAACTGAATGTCAAGAACACTTGAAATTGTTTAAGCAGCTTTCCATCTTTGACTCTTTTTTCCTTCCTTTGAACTCCACATCCACATTTTGCTACTTCCAATACTTGTGTGAGTTGAGCAGAATCCAGGAAATTGAGCTGTCCGAATAACAGGGAAGAGGAAGGTACTAGGAAAGGCTATTTTTCAGGAGATCAGCTTTGCCGTTCACCTTCCAGCTGCACAACCAACCATGCCAGCTGACTGCAGTGAGGGTCAAGGGGGGGAGCAGGAGATGGCAGAGGCTTCTGAACCAAGCAGTGCTGTCACTAGAGAATCCACAGTACCTTTTGCAGATCCCCAGCAAATTAGTCCACTTAATTTGATGGGCCAGTATTTTGGTGATTTACAATCTTTGTTACATAATCTGCTCAGTAATTACTCAGCAGGAGAACAGCACTCAGTCCACTCTTCCCCAGGCTGCATGGATTCCAGGACAGGACAAGGCAGTAAAACTCTTATTTCTGGTAGAAGGACAAATATTTTGAGAAAAAATTCATGGTAGATTCATCCATTTAGAAAGGGCTGATTTTACAGTCATTCTTTAGAAAGAAGCTTACTTTTAAAAAGACCCAAATATTCATAAATACTACTGGTAAAAATAGAGCCATGTTATATTTACATCAGCCATTCAATATGTCATTGATACTTCTTTCCTCAACCACCTGCTAGTACAGTTCCCTCCCAGCAAAAATGCTGTAAGTAACATCTGCAGACAAGTCTAACTATTCCTAGAGATACAAACTTGTGACTTTTTAAAAGTCAACAACTTCATTCTGTTAACCACCTTTTTGTTGTTGCTGTTGTGCAGATCTGCATATCTACTTCTCCTGGGATGGAACAAAGAGCCATTGCCATTTCTTTCTATCAGTTCTCCAGATGTTTGTATAAATTTAAAAAGAAGCAGTGAATTCTTAATTAGAACACCATAGATATGCTCAACATGGCATGTTGATATCATTAGCTTGAAAATACTGAAAAACACTCAGAACTCTAACTTCCAATGAACATAAACTATTGATACGATCCCAATCATTAATTAGCTTATAAGGAATCATAAGTTCACTGATGTAATGGTGCCTTGTTAGTCTGTACTGGGACAGTGATCTACGTGTTTCAGAACCAACCATTTTAATTAATTTGCTGTTTGCACTATCCAAACATATTACAAATAAAATAGAAAACATAAGGTATGATGAAAAGATATGACAGACTGATGAGACACTGTTCGCAGTCCTCATGCTCGTCCAACAGCAGTGCTCATAATATGAAGAAGCTACAGGCAGTAGCTGATTGAAGAAGGATGAATTATGAGATACAATCCAAGACACCAGTTTTCTTTCAGCAAATGGATTTATTGACATAATTGATTATAACCATGTACAGCATCTATGCATCTCCCATTGGAAGAATATCCAGTGATAGAGCTAACGTTAGTGTGATACACAGCTTTACTCAATAATCCCACTGCATTTCTAACAACAAACAGTGGTGTACTCCACAGTCATAAATGGCTAAGAACATCCAGACGTACAAAAGAACGGAAATTTAATATTTTTAACAAAAGAAAATGAAACCTGATCCCACATTCCTTCAGTTTTAATTCCATTCAACATTGTGTCTATAGCAGTGATGAATTTTAATCTATACACTGACAACTGAGTTTGGTCCCTGATACTCCTGAAAACTACAGCCTGTCAAAATGAAGTCTCAAAGGACTTCTTGATACTGACCCAAGAAACAAGCCTTCGATTTTTTTTTCTCCATTTAAAGGACAAAGATTAAGGCAAATGATCTCTACACTCTCTCCCTCAGAACATAAAGTGTTTTCTCTCTATTCTGTCACTGAACTCCAATTGAAGGTACCAGTTACTATGGTATCTTTTGTAAACACTTGTTCAGCTGAAAAAAAAAAGAAGGGAGAAAAAAAAAAAGAAAAAATCCCAAATTGCTTACTTGCAATTATGGTAATAAACAACTCCTAGTCACGAACACCTCGGGTCAGCAATGAATGCATCATATTGAGACAAAATGTCTCCATAGTACACTAACACTTCCTTCAAGCCATTCAGTTCCACAAGAGTTCATCTGAGGTTGCACATTAAATTCAAAGGAGCAGAAGTAGTATTAATGGTCTCAACAATTTACCAAATTCCATCTAAAACATTTGCATTTAAATTGCAACTCTGGTTTGGACCTCTTTAACTAGCTCATTTCTAGACCACACAGAGAGAATTATTAATGTAAACTAAACCACCATATTTCCTAGTAACAGAACCACATTCTGTAAATATTTAGGAAAGTCTGAGAAGTAGAGAGCAACTGACCATAAAATGATTAGCACTGTTCTGCAACCAAAAGCAAAATTCTAATTTAAAAAAAAACCACAACAACCAACAAACCAAAACAACTCAAACATAATATACTACTGCATAAGGGTTTAACTTTAGTATTCCTCATTCAGCTACACAAAACACAGAATCTAGATTAATATACAAAAATGTTTTATTTCACAGTGAGGTACATAAAGCTTCTAACTTTAGTAGGCTAAAAGAGAACTGCCTGTTACAATGAAGATTGTTTCATGTTCCTGAAATATTCTCACCTATTACTGTTTCTGAAGAAAGGCACCAATTATTGTTTATCCATCAACAGTTCACTTCTGCATCTGTGCATTTAGAAATGAAGATGGATTATGTGAGGGTCAGCGGTCTACTGACCATCATGGACCCAAACAAATACAGCACAAGTACCAAGCAGTATTTATTCAAAAACAATTTAAAAATAGCTCATTTGTAAACACATTACAAAAATATGTTAGTTTTTCTTAGTGGTGTCAGCAATATATTCCTGTAGAACTAACTAGCTGCATTATTGTTTCTCGTTTACAAAAAAAAAAGAAAACCCATTTGTGCACATTAAATAGCCTCACATTCGGTTTGAGTTGAAACGGCATAGCCTTCAAACTGTCCAGTGAAAAAATCATTTCCAGCCCTCCCTGGTTGCACACAGTTCAATTAAAAGATTGGTCCAAATTTTTGTTAGGAAGAGCTGGTGCCTTGGAAAGACCTGGTCAAAGCTTTCTCACACAGGGCCAGGCTGCTCACTGTAACTTGTTCCCAACTGCAGTTGGAGAAAACCACCTGTAAAATAGCACACAAATTAACGGCTCTGAGTTTGCTTAAGGGAGGCACTGGCTGCTGTTGGCAGTAGCTCCCGCCGCTTTGCTCCTTGTGGCAAGGCACAATTACCGCCTGTCAGGGCTTTTCCTTGGGTTAGTGATGATTCCTGAAAAAACAGTGACATTCCAGCAGAGGCAACCCCATCTCACAGGCGGCCTCAGCCCCGGTCTGCAGTAAGGGCAGCTGAACACAGCCACTGCGCTGCAGCTCTGCCCCTCGGAGGCCACGACCCCGGGGCCCGCACCATCCCCTCAGAGACCGACGTCCACCTTCCCTCCCAGCGCCGACCGCAGCTCCCGGCCGGCCTCGGGGCCTCGGTGGGCTCAGTCGGTGAAGCGCTGCAGCAAGTGTTCATCACCATGCCGGCTGCCCCCGCTGTCCATGAAGCGCTCGCAGGGGAATTCGATGAGGTCGGCCTCACTGAGGGCACAGGCGGCAGTACCACGGGGCGGTCGGTGGGACTGGAAGCCCGAGAAGTCGGCAGAGACGCCGGTGCCCATGGAGCGGAGTGGGCGGCGTGTGGAGTAAAGCTGCCTCACGTGGACAGGGGCTGCCTTCCGACGCCGACGCCCCAGCACCTTCTTGCGCAGCAGGCGGGCGGCCCAGGCGGCCAAAGCCGTCAGCAGCAGCAGCGCGTTCACCGCCAGCAGCACCAGCGTGAGCAGCTGCTGGTCAGGGCCGCGGGGCCCACCTGCTGCTGCCGCAGAGCTGCCCTCGGGCAGGGTGACCAGCCCGGCGCAGTGGTCCCGCGGTGCCACCGGGCACGCGCGGCCGCCCAGGATGCCCTCAACACAGACAAGGTAGGGGGTGTCCGGGTGGAGCTCCTGCAGCGTAGCCGCCGGCTCCCCGTGCTCTGGCAGGTACACGAAGCGCTGGAACTTGACAGCGGCACCGAAGCGGTCAAAGAGGAGGCGGAATCGTGCCGGCCCAAGCAGGCGGGGGCTGCGGTGTGGCCGCACAGCCCAGCGCACTGTCACCCAGCTGGAGCCAACAGCCTCCACCGACAGGTTGTGGAGGAACAGCTTGTTGAAGTCGCACGGGTCGGACACCAGTGGCGGGACCCCAGCGGCACTGGCCCGACGGGGCCATGCCGCGCTGGGCAGTGGTGGCGGCGTGGGGCTGGCAGCAATGGGTGCGCCCATTAGGCGGGCAGTGGAGGCGGCTGGCGGCGGCCCCGGGGGCAGTCCCACGGCGCTGCTGTTGCCCCCAAGCCCCTCAGGAGACAGCAGGGAGGGAGAGTCGCCATCGGGGCAGGAGCCACCACCCTGCGGTGGCAGCAGCTGGGCATCCTGCAGGTAGTCAAGGTACTTGCCAGCCAGGGTGGACGGCAGGCGGCACTGCACGAAGACGGTGAGCAGGCGGCCCTGGGAGTGCCAGGCTGCCAGCCAGTGCTTGAGGCCGCGAAGGCGGCAATCACAGCTCCAGGCATTCCCCTCCAGCTCCAGGCGGTAGAGGGCCAGGCTGGAGGCAAAGAGCTCGCCAGGGAGCGTCGCCAGCGCATTGTCCCGAAGGCTGAGCTCCCGCAAGCGGCCAAGGTGGCTGAAGGCAGCCGGATGTAGGGTGGTCAGTGCATTGCGGCTCAGATCCAGTGCCTCCAGGTTGCCCAGTGGCTCCAGCAGGGAAACAGGCAGGTGGCTTAGCAGGTTCCCCTCCAGGCGCAGCTCCTTCAGTGAGCCCAGCCCCGTGAAGGCATCCGGAGCCAGGTGAGACAGTCGGTTGCCACTGAGCGAGAGCTTCGCCAAGCCAGGCAGGTGCTGGAAGAGTCCTCCTGTCAGCTGCCGCAGGCTGTTGCTGGCCAGCAGCAGGGTGTGGAGGGAACGCAGTGGTCCGAAGATATCTGGGTGGCGAAGGGAGCTCTGCTGGTTCCCCGAGAGGTCAAGAAAGCGCAACTTGGCCAGTCCGGTGAAGGCACCACGGCTCAGCCAGCGGATGCGGTTGGACTCCAGGTGCAGGTAGAGTAAGTTTGGCAGCCCTGAGAAAGTAGAGTCACCTAGCGAGCCCAGCTCATTGCCATCCAGTCGCAGCTTGACAAGACTGCTGAGGCCGGAGAAGGAGGCAGCGCTGAGGCGGCCGATCTCGTTGGCGTTCACATAGAGGATGCGCAGCTTGGCCAAGGCGCTGAGTGTGCCAGGGGCCAGCGCAGGCAGCAGGTTGTTGCCCAGATAAAGCTCCTCCAGCCGGTCTAGGTGCTCAAAGGCCTTGGGGTGCAGCGAGCGGATCCGGTTGTACTGCAGGTCCAGGCGCTGGAGCCCTGCCAGGCGGTGGAAGTCGAAGGCGGAGATGTTGACGATGAAGTTGCCCCCGAGACTGTAGGTGAGGATATCCTTCGGCTCGGCAGCCTTGGGCACGGAGCGCAGGCCCCGGTTGGTGCAGAGGAGGTGCTGGTGCTGCTGGCAATCGCATGGCTCGGGACAGATGGGCTCGGCCGCGGGCAGCAGCAGGAGGATGAGGGGGACAGAGCCCCAGAGTACCCGCGGCAGCACCATCAGGCGGACCCGGCGCGGCACCCCCATCCCGGGACGAGACGTGGGCTGCTTCCCCCGCCGGCTTTGTGTCTATCCGGCATCCCCTCCGCCTCCTCCGCGACTGCTAATGGGCCCCTCCTCTGCTCCGCGCCGGGCTGAGCTCTGCGCCGGGCAGGCAAGCGCGGCGGCTGCTGCAGGTCGCGGTGTCCGGCACCATGAGCTGGCCCGCAGCGGCCGGGAGCGCTGCCCCGCCCGGGCTCTGCCGCCCCTGGCGGCCCGCGGGTGCGGGTCGGCTGTGGCGGGGTCGGCGCTGCCGCGGGGGGCGGGCGGGATGCGGAGCGGAGCGGCTGCTCCGCCGGCACTCCCAGGGTGGAGGGGGCGGGCGGGGAGGAGACGGAGGGGGGCGGCGGGCGGAGCGGGGAGAGGGAGAAAGACGAGCTCCGAAAGTTGCCGAGAAAACTCAGCGGAAATTCGTACTTCCCACACTGTGCCCTGGGGGACCGGAGGATCGGATGGAGCGGCGGAGAGGGAGGACGGCGTGGCGGGTGGGGGGGGAGCGGGGGGAGGAAGCCCGCGGCCAGTCCTGGCTCGGTTCAGCCCCGGCAGCGAGCAGGGGCGCAAAGTGGGAAAGAAGGAATTGGAACCGGCTGTGGCTGCCTCCCAGCCACATGGGTTGCAGATAAAGCTGCACATCGGGGAGGGGGAAGGGAACAAAAGTAAGCTAATCGTCGTCGTCCCCTTTTTCCCCCCTTCTGTTTAGAAACCTGCCAAAAGCAACAGTTACGGTTTACCAGGGATTTAGGACTTTCTATCGTGTTGAGCAAACAGCAATCACAGGACTAAGCTAGTTCTAGTACATCAGAATGAATTTTCATTCTTTCTCCTCACCGTCCTGCTCAGTAGGTTCCCGACAAAGCTGCCAATGAGGATGCAGTTGAATATGGCTCCAGCTCCATGAGGGGCTCGTCAGAGTGATCCCGATGCTCTTCAGAAATAATTCCCATTTTAAAAGATTCTTCTTTCTCAACAGCACAAAAATTCAGAGGGAAAAGAAGGTATTGGAAAGCATATTGAAAACGAAGCAGACTAGATACCCATCCATTCAATGACTTTCCTTTCCTGTTGGCATCTTTTGTTTTCCTAAGATGTTGCCGATTGAATAAATGTCTAAGGGCAGGAGAAAATGCCTAGAGAGGTAGGTGTATAAGACAGTCAAGGATGATGAGGGAAAGAAGGTAATGACCAAAATACTGTGTTGCAAATTTAATAAATATGTTGGAAATTGTTATCACATGAAGCTGTTATCACATGAAGTTGTATGCAACTTCATACGCTTTGCATACAGTTCTGGACTAAAGCTGTGTACGAGCCATGCTTCTTTCTCTTAGCAGAAGGCAGAATTTAGATAGCTTTCATAGAAATTTTGTTTGAGTGGCGATGCCAACATGAACAGCTAACATGGTGTGTTTGTGCTGAGTTCCTGTTGTCTGCTTTCATGGTACTTTGATCTAACTGATTTGGTCCTGAAGGAACCTTGAAGAGAAGGGATATGGCTTGGTTTGGTCAACAGGACATCACTATGACCATCTCAATTCCTATCTCTTGTAGTTATCTGAGGATGAGCCTTATGAAGAACAATCCTTTTGTAGTGCTAACTGCATTGTGCTGGTGTGGGAAGTAATGTTTGGGGCAGCAGAGTGATATTTTAGATAATCTGGATGAAATTTGCAAGTATCTTCAAAAATCAAGTGAACAGCTCATTGGGAAAACGCAGTGTGAAAAATAATATGCTGTAATATGGTTATGACAAGGAAAGCTAGGAGGGTCTTTGGGTTTGGGTGGGTTTTTGTTTTTGTGAGATCTTTTTCGGTGAAAAATGGATTTTGCATAGGCAGTCTTTATAAATTAAAATTAAAATTAAAAATGTTGAAGCAAAAATAGTGGAAATGAGGGTTGTCAGATTCCAGAACTTGATGACTTCTGCAGACATGCACTATCTTGTCATCAAACAAGAATATTTTTAGATTACCTTGTTTTAAATTTGTGTCCTAAATTGTTGATGCCTTGTTTTCTGAGTGTGGACAGAAGCTTATTTGCTGTTTTAGTGAAGTGGAAAGTTTCTGGTTTAATTATTTGTAACTGCTGTATTTTGAACAGTACATGTTTGATTAGTAAATTTTTTTTCCCTGAAATAAGTTTGAGTAAATTTCACAGAAGGAACTTCTTTGCTAGTCTTTTTTATTCATTTTCCAGGTTCCTGAAGGAACCCATCCAGAATTTGTTCATGATTCAAGTATCCATGGGTTAAGAATCTATTTTTTCTTCTGCAAAGATTGCATGTTTCTTTCCTCATTTTCAAAGCCCTATGGTTCAAGGAAAGACATCCTGACTGAAAGTTTTCTTTAATTCTGAGGAAAGCCCGAGTGACTAGTGACAAATTTACTTCACTGTATTGTGCTTTAAATAGTGAAATTTTAGAAAACCATTCTGTATAATGGTATGCTTATTTTCTATTCCTTTGGGTTTTTCTTCGAAACATGGCTAAGCCTATAAGGGCAATTTATGAACTGTCCTTCCTGTAGAAGCACCATAGATCTTTTTCTAGCCGTATGTCATTGCAAATACTAAAAGTTTACGTCAAGTTTTGTCTTGTGTATTGCTTTTGATTTATGCTTTCTGAAACTTAGCCAATATGATTATTTTCACTGGGTTTGGGGAATTATAAGTGGCAGGAATTTAATAAAAAAATTTAACTAGTGATTCTTAAGAAGAGAATTCATCAGACATTTGTTCTCACACTAGAAATATTTTATACCAGAAACAAAATAAACAGATACAATGGGGGTTTTGCTGATACTTTTTTTTTTAATTCAAGTAGGAAGTTATTATTCAAAACAATTAGAAATACAACTGTTGAGATGAAGGGTGCCCCATTTGTTTTCCTACTTTGGAAGAAGAACTTTCCCACTACTGTAGTTCTTGTTTCCTTATTCAAGCACACAATAAAATTTTTAATGTATGGTTGAGAAATAGTAATCTTTTTCACCCCAACCTGAAAAAGCATAAATCCACCTATGAAATACTGGACAGAGGGGGAATTAAAAAGTAACCTATTCTTAAAAGTTTTAAAGGTTATCTTAAAACATACCTTTATGGTTAAGATTTAAAGAATGAGGACTTTGAAGGACCAAGAAAAAAGCAAAATCAGAAATACCATCTCTCCACTGATATATATCTATTCCTATGACAATTATGAGGGAACTGACCTTAAATAAGGTATTATTTCACGGCTAAATGGTATCCATATGTTTGTTATACCTAATACCAAATACCTCTGATTTTCTGGTTTTAGGTGTTTTTTTCAAGAGATGTTATCTAGGTACTGGTCAGGGGACTGGTGGTTGAAAGTGAACACATATTTGTAGGTAGAATGCGAAATGGAGTGAAAGAAGCTGCATGTTCAATGTAGCCTATCCCAGCATATACTGTGACTGTGGCAATGTCCACATGAGAAACTTCCATTAAATAAAATTAATCTTTCTTGATTCTAGATTAAGAGAAATGGAGCTGATCTGTTAAGTTTGAGTGCTGGTATCTCATAGCTTTATGTAGTTGCCAGGAATGGTAACTAGTTATGTGGAACTGGAGCTTAATTTCAAAAGAGGAATTTTTGATTGATCTATACAATTTTTTCTGCCCACTGCACATCACAAATGTTTTAATCTGAACTTGTAAAAATGTTTCTAGAAGTGTTAGCTTTGAACTTTCTCACTGAGCCTACTGGCTTCATAGAAAGTGAACCTTAGTGCCAGAATTCCCATTTAAAACAATAAAAATCTTCTGTAAGTTGATATACTAATGTGTTTAGTTGATTACAATATAAAAACCTAATTTGAAGTTATTTGACTCACGATGTCATAAGAAGTTGTCGTATACAACCTTATGAATCATATAAAGCACAAAGAGAAACAGAAAGATGCTGCAAAGTTCATGTTTTCTACCTGATAAAGTGTCACTGTATGAATTTTTTTTTCTTTGAAATTGCACAAACAGTTTACCAATATTGTGGAATTTATGTTGGTTGCACTTACTGTAGTAATTAAAATTTTAAATAAACTTTTTCCTGATACCATGGTTTGTGCATAATGAAATGTCACTTGCCACATCCTGTTCTTCGGGAATAAAGCATGACTCTCAGGCCAGCAGTTAATATTACATGCCTGTTCAGCTCCACAGGACAAAATTTACCAGATGTTTAATAGATATCTAGTCCTATCATCCATAGAGGTCTGTGGCCTACAACACTCTGCTGCAAATATCTCTCAATCTTTTCAGAATTAAACATCTGAGTAAAGTATTTGTGGTTTTTTGACATATGATGCTAGTCTAGACATGCTTTTACCATTGTGTGCTGCTTTGTCAGCAATCAAACCCCACTGAATTTCATATGGTGTACAATACACCTCTTAGACTTCCTCTGGGCAGGCAGTTCCAGGACTTCATGTTGATTACAGCAGTTGTTTCCTTTGTGCATATTAGTTTACTATCCAAGCAATTTCAGATCTGTTTTCTTGGAGTTTCCCTGCCTAGACTGCATGAAACCAATTGTAGCTATATTCACAGGTAACACTGTGTTCACATGTTCTCTCTGCAGGTGAAAATCAGCTAGCTCACTCTATACAATTAAATGCAAATAACACAATAGATCTTGTTGCTATAGTATCAGTATTTCATAAAAATAAATGGAGAGTTAGGTGTCCGTGTCCTTCTGTGTAATGATCTCTACCAGTATGTATCACTTACAAACTAGTTTTCATAGGTTAGACTGGCTGAATCCTACTTGCAGAACTCTATTTAGCTGGCATATTCAGCTTTATCCAACATTTATTTCCTGAGGAAGAAACTAATTAAATGGAAGTACGTACTTTTTTTGTGGTTCAGCATCCATGACAGCAAGAAAGGAGAGAACCCAACTTGTGTCGTGGTAAGAGTGGTGTAATATATGTAAAACAAATGCATATGTAGCTTATGCAGGGCCAATTAGCTTTTGCAATATCTGCAATTCTTTCTCATGGTTATCTGTTTATATACCCAATCTTTGCAGTATTGTTAGACCAGTTTTTCCATAATGGGATAACAAATCAGGCAAGTGTCCTTGCAAACATTTTCTTCTTCTCTTTCTCCATAAAAGGATATGTGTGCTTATGGCAATCTCTTTCATAATGTGTAATACTCTTTTGTCATGTTTT